ATTTGAAATGAATTGTTGCCACTTATCAGGCAGCTCTTCGATAAATTTCGAATAAATTTCCACCTTTTTTACCATGAAAAACTATTCGCCAACATTTTAATCTGATCCATTTTATAGAAAGATAAATTTTTCCCCCGTCGAAGCGTTTTGTAATGATAGACAATTGCAAAAATCAGTCAGGTGAAAATGGTGACTTGGGTAGAACAGAGCAACCGAATTGCAAAATCATTTCTTGTGTTATTCTTGATGCATACGTCCTTGTGTTGTCCTGAAGAACAACATATTTCTATTGATTAACACAGTGTGCTTTTCGACCAAAGTTTTCTGGCTGCGTTGCAGCTACTGGACGTAAAAGTGTGCATTTTTGTTGGTTCGAAACGCTTTCAGCTTAGCTGTTAGACATTTTCAAAGATTATTTTTGGTTATATTAATATAATAAACGGTGTGTAAATGCTGTTGTAGACGGTATAATAGTTGCTGAGAGTGGATATATTTTTAATTTTCAAATACGGTCAATACGTTATGACCATGTTCATAATTAATATTATTAAGGGTTGTTTTCGTGTGTGTTTTCTTTTTTTAATATAATAAGGGATTCTACAGAAGGATACTGAAAATTTCATGGATGGAGCGAGTAATCAACGCGGAAGTTTTAAAAGAAAATGATGGCAGAAAGAACATTTATACATAGAATCAGGAAAAATAACTTTTAAAAAATTCCTTGGACATTCCATGAGGAAGGAGGGTTTAGAAAACTAAACACTCACGGGGTATATCGCGAGCAAGAGATGTAAGCGAGACACTTAACTGACGAGTTTAATAAAAGGAATAAAACCACATAGAGCCACAAGAAGATGTGGAGAGTCATAATTGTTTATGTTCTGAAGAAACGCGTCCAATAGAGGAAGAAGACGAAGAATAAGGATTATAGCTATTTCAAACGCTTTTTGCCGTGCGAAGTTCGTATTACATCCATTTTTTTCGACGGCTATGCTGCAAAATGAGTTGGTTTGGATTTTGGACTTTCTAGAAATACAGCACGAGCACCAGACCAGATGTGACTTTAATATTCAAAACAAAAACGAAAAATAGTCTTATAAATATGTAAGATAGTTTCAAATAAGACACAGTGAAACAAATTTCTTGGTAGCAGACCAAGTAATTTATTCAATATAATCTTTCTACTTCATGTCATTAGAAAACTATAGTCCGAGAAAGTGCAATGATTTACTCTCCTGGAGGTTAGCATCAGCCATTCTGATTGAAGACCAAAAGGGTTCTCTCTGACGATTAAATTAACAAACTATTCTTTGCCCCAGTTAACAGCAGATTGTAGGTCTTTTTTGTAATTGAGCTGCCAATTTGAAATTGAACCGATCAAACTTACTATTGGAACAAGAGGAAATAGTTGTGCCATCAGCATAGAATTTAGAACTGATAATATCAGGAAGTTCGTTGAAGAAAATTAGAAACAACGTAGGTCCAAAGAGAGAGTCTTGAAATGCCGAAATGTAATAAATATGGCGACAAAGGTGAGGACAATAATCCGAATAATGTAAATAATGTTCATAATACCTCATCTCAAAAATATAGACAGACTCAGGTCATTTTTTGTTTACATGTTTCTTTTCATTGTATCTGTTATAAGAAGAATTTATTTTAAAAAGAAAAAAAAAGCCCAAATAATAATCACTATCTATCTATCACTATCTATCGTCTATAGCAACTCAAATTGTCAAGAAGTTAGCTAAGACTAAAGAAAACACCGGAAATCCCTGCAGGGACTCCTATCTATGTTTGCTATCGCACTACAAATACCCCGAAATTATGCGACTGTTGATCAGAGCAGCCAATCTAAACCCTACCAAAGAGTTCGAACTACTTACACCATAAATAAATATGGCTACGTACTATTATTTTTGTTAATAAGGTTAGATGTTTAGTATCGTAATATATTTAGTAATTTAATATTTTTGTTTGTTCAACAGGAGGGGTATATATTTTCTGACGTTTCTTAAATCGATTTCATTCTGTTTGTGTTTTTTGTGTATCTGGTTACGATAAGCAAATATTGATATTACTGCAATTTTCTCTGTTTAGTTTTGAAAGAAAAAGCATTTAGCTGTCTATAATGTCGCTTAGAAAATCATTGTTAACTAGCATTTGTTTTATGTCACCTAGTTCTTGAAGGTATTGCTTCGGCGATGATGAGGCCACGTGCGCTTTCGTTATTATTATTATTATTTTATTGACGCTAATTCATATCTAAGAGACTATTCGATTCTAATTGAGATGACAGGAGGTTTTTATTAGTTTCTTTTTTTCATAGTGAAGCGGTAAATGTTACTGGATTCTCCGGGAACGTCTAGGGATGGATTTTTTTTTTTTTGCTGTTACTTGCTGAGTTTGAAAGTAAATTTTAAAATAGTTTTTTGCCAAATGTACTTTTAAGTTCTGTTTTTTTTTTTTTTTTTTTTTTTTTAGCTAAAATGAAAATATCAACTACGTACCTGACAAAAAAAGTTATGGGAGTTTTTGAAAACTTTGTTTTCAACAAGTGGCATATAATACTTGGAGAAGGTTTGTCCCAAGGAATCGCCCATACTAAACGCTTTTTGTTTGAGTATATACGTTACCATTGTAGGCGTACAAAAGAACTTTCGTTGTGCATGCATGTAGTAGAAAGCTACCCTTAATAACATTACTTATGAACCCGGATACAATATACTAGCTGTATTTAGAAATTAAGAATATGCCCACTTTCAGAGGCATTTTTATACCGTCTACAACAGCACTTACACGCCATTTCTTATAGTAGTATAACAAAAAACTAATCTTTGAAAATAACTAACAGCTTAAACGAAAGCATTCGCAACCAACAAACCTTTGGACAAATTTTACATTCATTAAGTTCAGGGAAGAAGACAATTGTGCGTTTACACGAAAAAAACACCAAAAGCACCTTCAACGAAACGTGTATTAAAGGAAGTTGCTTCCAAAATAAACTAAATATATATATATATATATATATATATATATATATATATATATATATATAGGGGTTATGAGGTGTCAAGGAGAGGTAGTACCTTCAGGAGGAGGGTCGCCATGCCCTTTTCAGGGCAGCTCGTCTGCTACTGGTCCTCACCTGTCACCCAGCTCTCACCTGTGGCTCCTACAGCGGCCACCTCCGGGCAACAGCTTTGGCGGGCCGGCCAAACGACGTGAGGGTAGCAGACGGGTTTGAAACCCCCGGTGAGTTAGGCTAGGGCTGTGTCAGTCTTACTGCATGCGAAGACTGACTCCCAGGGAAACGAACGGAAGAGATCCCTTGTAGATCCAGCGGTTGTGAAAGCGATGGCAGCAAGTGTTGTCGAGTGCCCTAGTGCATGAACATGACACCTAAAGAAGTACTGGTCATCCACTGCAGCCTGGCAGTCTCCCGTTGTCTCCTGGCCCCCGTGCCACTGAATCAAGACTTCCCAGGCAGAGAGAGTGGGATTGTACCCGCACAACGATCTTCTCCCTATAAAATCCTCACGCACAGGTTCGTTATGCAATTCATTATGCAACTCATTATATATATATATATATATATATATATATATATATGAAGAAGTATAGTTTTAAGGTGTGCCATATTTATGGGATAAAGTGCTTAATAGCAAAAATAGAGCGTATGTAAATATAAATATAAAAGTGAACATTGAAGTCAACACTCAGAAGCGACAGGCTGTTTCATGTTGGACGCAATCGTCAGGCCGCGAATGCTGGATTTTTCCTTGGCTATTTATATATGTGGGTCAGTGGTGCATTGTGGGTAATCTATTCTGGCGGTTATTTGCGGGAGTGGCTTCTTTGTTTAAATATTTATTTATTTGTTTGGGTTAATTACCTTTACTTGTTTTTTTTTTATTTTCATTTTGTATTATTTATTCTTCTCGTTGTTTTTGATGTTTTATTAACGTAGTGAAAATATTGGAGACTACAGCAACCAATGCAAAAATTGGACGTGAAAATAACTATAAGTGTTATATATCGATGAGAAAAAATTCACTACGTTACTCCAAAATCGAAAACCAAATAGAATAAATAAAAATATACAAAATAAAAAATAAGTAAATAAATAAAAAACTAATAAAAAATTAATCCAAATAAATAAATAAATAAATGAACAAATTAACAGATCGACCCCGCTAAAATAATCGTTAGAACTAATAAAAATAAGCATAAATAAGCTAAAACAAGTAAAAATAATCAATATAAATAAATAAATTAAAAACTGCCCACCCGCCTAAATAACAGAATAGACTACGGCAAGCAATCTAAACATTGGACGAATAAATAGGTTTAATTAACTTCCCAGACCAAAACAAACTATTAAATAATCAACCTAAGCAAATCCCTCTAAATTTTTTACTAAAATAAAATTTTTATTAGAATAAATTAACCCAAAGAGATAAATAAATAAATAAATAAATAATCAAGCTACTCTCGCAAATAACTGCCAGAATAGATTACCCACAGTGCACCACTGACCCACATATATAAATAGCTGAGGAAAAATCCAGCATTCGCGCCCTGACGATTGCATCCAGTATGAAACAGCCTCTCGTCTCTGAGTGTTGACTTCAATCTTCACTTATATATATATATATATATATATATATATATATATATATATATATATATATATATATATATGCCTCACTTTAAACATTATTATTAGCAAATTCTCGCTCCGGTAGTACCTTCAGCTCCGTTTATATTTATATTTACCGACCGGCATGACATTTCGAAAAAGCTTTTTAAAGAAAAGATTGCTCTCTCCGTTCTTGCCTTCTTTTCTCAAGAATAAATTATTCATGCTTTAATAATTTCTTATCCTTTATGTACCAATGCTTGTCATAACATAAGCGAACATAGCTCTCAACAACTTCCGTTTTATTTTTTTGCTCTAAGTATTTTTTTTACTCTTTACCATCCCTCTTCGTGCTTACGAGCACATCACAGTTCAACACCGTTTCCTGTACGATCACTGAAGTTAAGCAACGTTGAGCCTGATCGGTACCTAGATGGGTGAACGCTTGGAAACACCGGGTGGTGTAA